CGGTCAGCGCATTCACGGGCTTTGGCCTGGCTCCGCAGCTCACATTACTATCGTCAGACGCGAACCACGCTGGGAAGACTGGGAGTATGAACGAGAAGACAAGGGCAACCGATTCGCGTACTTCGGGAATGGGTATACGCAGGCGGAACTGGATGAATCGGTGGATATCACTTCCTACCTTAAACCACCTCAAGATGTCGACCTGAGAAACCTTCACGAACTTTGGTGGGATCTCCCAGGCGCACAGAAGAAGAATTGAACGATTCTCATTCCATAGCTCACTTCTTTTGCATACAATGCAAACCTTACTTTCACAAACTATAGACTCCTGATCAATAAAAACCCTCTATCCCCATCATCTCTATGCCTCATCATCACCCCCCTATGCCTTGACCGCTTCCCTCCCCCTTCGCATACCCAAAAAAACAGCAAGTAGACTCACCACTACAAACCACACCCCTACTAACATGACTAACATGACCCTCTTACACACCCGCCCATGCTCTACGGTACTACCGTACACAGTAATACCTCCAATCACGACATTTCCCTATCTATTCCGTCATCCCTCCCCCCCATCTCCACTTCCACCCCGCCTTACCTACTCCAACAAACCCCGCTCCGACATTTCCGTCAGCAAAAAGAGAAACAACGCTGCTTGTCTTACACTTGCAACGAAAAAAATGGCGTGCTGTCCGCTCATAGTGTCGCCAACGTACCCTTTCCTACGCTAATCGGCCCGACTCGGTTGTACGTGTGTATTCCGCATGGACAAAGTGCGAGTGAAATAAGGTTTTTTTTGGCCGAAGTTCGGGGAGGATTGTTTATTTGGTATGCGTGTGTGGGGGGGGAGTGGAATGGTTTAGCTAGATGGTGGAGTTGTGCGTGTGTGCCGAAAAGCACGTCACAGAAGCTTAGTATTCGCACATCTGGTCAGGGACATGGGGAGGGGCTAGGCGTTTTGGTATCGCGCAAACACGGGATATGGAGGCGGGAAGATGGGGGAGGGTTTGTAAGGGATTATTCTAGTTGAGCTTTTTTTCTGTCGGTAGATAAGATAGAAACGGGGGACATCTGCCTGGAATCTTTTGTGGTCTTGGAAGGACTGGGTTTTTGTTCACTTTTGTTGTTCTTTTTTTGCAAAACGGTTATATATATTGTACTTGGAAATTGTTACCATGGCGGATGATCATAAGGTTTCGTCGATTGAATCGGCAAGTGATGTTAATGATGGGAAACAGGATCATCCAGGTTCGTTGTGCTTTCATATGTTTTTGTTTGTTTCGAAATGTCTAATGTTGGTACAGTTCGATGGTACCACTCTACATTCTTCAACATCACGATCCTCGGACTCTGCAACTTTAGCGCGCCGGGAATATGGGGTGCGATGAATAGTCTAGGTGCTGGAGGCGCGCAATCGCCGCATCTCGTCAATGCAGGGAATGCACTTACCTTTTGCTTGATGGTGGTTAGTTGCTACTTCAGCAGTGTGATAGTCAAGTACATCGGGATCAAGGGTGCTTTGATTTTTGGAACGTGAGTTTTCTCTCTTTCCAACCTACTACCATTTCTTTGCATTCAACTAACGTCGCTTTAGAATTGGATATGCGCCGTACGCAGCTGCTCTCGTAGGTCCCATCTCTTTCACCATTCCTATCGTCTCCAAGCACATATGGTTCTAACACTACACATAGTACACAAACAACAGATTCGGCACAGAATGGTTCATCTACCTCGGTTCCTCCCTCTGCGGCATCTCCGCAGGCGTCTTCTGGATGGCCGAAGCCGCAATCGCAATCGCATACCCCGAACCCTGGAACAAAGGAAAAGCTCTCGGATACTGGCTTACCTACCGTCTCGGCGGCCAGATTCTCGGCGGCGCAATTAATCTTGGACTGAATTCGAAACGTGACAAAGCTGGTAAAGTCACATACGTTGTTTATCAGGTTTTCATTGCGTTGCAATGTATAGGACCGGTTGTAGGCTGTTTCTTGAACAGCCCTGATAAAGTGGAGAGGAAGGATGGAAAGAAAGTGGAATTGAAAATTGCAAAGGACCCATGGTTTGAGATTAAGGAGACGGGGAGGTTGTTTTTTACGAAGAAGTTTCTCCTCATTGTGCTGTGGATTGGGCAGGCTGTGTTTGCTGAGGCAGTCTTTTTCACATATTTGGCTCGTAAGTTACACTTTGGTTTCCTCTAAAAATCCCCTCGTCTTCCATTGTACAGTCAGAGAGCTAACCGTCTTGACAATTATAGTCTGGTTCTCAGTCCGCGCCCGAGCTCTCGGGTCCTTCCTCTCAGGCATCATCGCCGTCATCTGCGGTAACCTTCTCGGCGCCTACCTCGATCGCACCTCCATTGCGCTACGCATTCGCGCCCGTACTTCCTTTTTCACCATCGCCACGCTGCAAGGCGCATGGTGGATCTGGGCCACCGTTCTCGCCACAGAGTTCCGCGACTCCCGACCAACCTATGACTGGGTATCTGACGGTTTCGGCCGTGCCTTTGCCGTCTTCATCTTCCTGACCATCGGTTTCCAAATCAACTACCTGTTCCTGTACTTTGTCATTGGCAATCTGGCGGAGAACGAAGAAGAAGTTATCAGATATGCGGCACTTCTCAGGGGCACGGAGAGCGCGTGGCAAGCGGTTAGTTATGGTATTACCAGTGTCAAGGTCTTTGCAGAGGTGGGAGCAATTTACTGGAATTTCGCATTATGGGGGGTTTCGCTTTGGCCGGCGTGGTTGGTAATTCGGGAGTTTGGCAAGAAATTGACGGCGATTGAGCAGGTGGATTCAGGCGTTGTTGTGAGGGATACAACACCGGAAGTGGGAAAGTAAGGGATGTTAGTGAGATTTGATAGAACGGTGGTAAAGCGAGAACTCTTAGGAGGTATTGTAGATTTGAGAATAGAAATGCATTTGTAATACTATTTTCCCCGTAAACAACTGCAAGGCACTCTCTACATTATCATAACCTCAAGCAAATACCAAATCAGCTATATCAACGACCTTGGTATTGAACAAGATACACTATACCACCAACGCCCATGTCAATTTTCTGTATCGCCAATAGAATGCAACGATCTCCCCCAGTCATCAGTCAAGCACAGCTACTAGTCTACCTCCGCTGACCTCTCTCCTCCGCATTCTATCCAGTCCCCCGTTAATCTCACCCAAACCCTTCACGACTCCCACGACATCCGGCGGTACCAAGAGACCCTTTGCTAACAACTGCTCACACCACGCACTAATCTCTTCACCTACCTCGGGTACCTCATGGTAAAGCTTTATAGGTACATTATGCAATACCACACCCCCCGGCACGTCCTTTTTAGGCAATCCGGCCATACCCACTAGATGCGAGCGAGCAGTCTGCGGGCTTTCCCCAAGCGGGGTAGACGGTGGAGTTGGAGGTTTGGCCCCCGCGCGGTGCAAATGCTTAGCATGCTCGCTGGGATGCGCTAGGCTATGAAGGAGGTGCGTAGCCGTTTCTTTGCCGATTGTGTCGAAGCCAAAGCGTGCGCTGTGACCCGTGCTAGCCCGGATAATCTGTATTGCTCGCTGCGGGTCGTGCGAATCGACAATCAGGTCGCTGCGGATGTGGTCGGTATTTGAGAGTCTAAGTCCATGCTTCGCGGTGTCGACTACGGAGATGATTTTGAGGCCTGCGAGACGGGCGAGTTGCTTTGCTACGTGTGCACAGGTTGAGCTGCCGCCCCAGACTACGAGAAAATCTCCGGGGTTTGCTCGTTCGGTGTGCGAGATGCTGGAGAGGCATTCTTGACGTATGTCTGCGGGAAGTGTCTCAGGGTTTAGGTTTCGTACCATCTCGAGGAGATCAGGGCCATCTTCGATACTGCTGAAGTTGACGCCCATGCATATTCCCAAAGCAAGGACGGCTGATACAAATGCAACGCCAAGGATGCTACCAGAGTTGATGGAAATATCTTTTGGGATTCTGATTGTGTTGAATGACGAGGCGATGCTGTATTGTTGATATGCAGCCTTGCGGAGGTCTCGATAATCAGTCGAGGGTACAGTTACAACGTCGCCGGGCTTCAAACGAGATGATGTTTCGTCTCCTACTTTGATAACGGTTCCAGCAAATTCTCGACCTGCTATATATGGCAGTGTCGGGATTCCAAAACCAAAATCACTGTTGAGTGTGAGATGAAGAGAACAGGAGCGGCGTCACCAAGTTCAAGGCTTACGGTGCTTTCCAGTCAATTGGATTCAGCCCAATCGCTTCAACCCTGATCAGGAGTTCATTCCCAAGTTTGATGGTTGGAGTGGCGTGACTGGTCGAGAGGTCATATGGCTGGCGGGCTGCATGTAACAACAGTGCATGCTGCTCTGAAGGTGGTTGTGATACTGATGTTTTCTGTTGAAATTGGTTCTGTGTTCTCGCTCTCTTCCCAGATGAGGATCTCGAAGAGAATTCCGCTGCGGAGCTTCGCGTGCGTTTCTTTGTCGATTCCATTTTTAGTTGTGATATCAATGGCTTCAGTGAGACATTTTAAGGTCATTCAAAGTCCCTGCACCCACGCCAAAGTCATACTGTGTGAGTGTCGTGCCGGCAGCCCCACGCATGTCGCGTCCCGCAACAAAGATTCGTCATAGTGCGTCATGGGCTAGACAGGCTAAACATGCACTTGAACTGCGTGCGTGCGTGCCGGGAAAGGAAGCATTGGGTGGAGTAAGAGGGTTGTCGCCATGTTGGAGTAGTCTGGCGTGACACGGCAGCGGGGTAAAATGGCAGCGAAGGGCCGAACTATCATTACCAGAAATGTAATAAAGTAGTGGAGTAACTCCTATATCGGAGGAGAGCGTTGAGAAGTAGCGGTTCGGATTACTGTATCCCGGCTCGAGTGTTGTTAGAGTTTACAGATAAGCGATGGCGTTAAAGGCGGGTGAAATCACATCATCCGCTTCAACCTACTCGCATGTGCCTCGGCGAGATTGAGCAGCCAAACTCCGGACACCTATAACCGCTAAACATGACGAAAAGGAAGCGAGAAAATGGTGGTGAAGCTACGAAAAATGGGAGGCAAAAGAATGGCGAAGACAAGCCTAAAAAGGAGTTGATCATCAATGCCTTTGTGGAAATGTGTAAGTCCAAGTTGATACGCGCTACGTCCTATCAGAATCAGTATACTCTGTATATGGAATTTGTAGAGAGTTTTGGAGAACTAATTCTGGATTCTGTACAGGCAGTGGCCATCAGTCGCCAGGATTATGGAAGCATCCTGACGATCGCTCTCATGAGTTCAACAACATCGACCATTGGGTAGACCTTGCAAAGCTACTCGATGAAGCCAAAGTCCATGGCATCTTCATAGCTGATGTTCTCGGGGGTTACGATGTGTACAATAGTAATCTTGATGCAGCAATAAGGTCGGGTGCTCAGTGGCCAGTCAACGAGCCGCTGGCAGTTGTCAGTGCAATGGCCGCAGCGACCAAAAGCATTGGTTTCGGTGTGACAGTGTCGACTACTTATGAACAGCCGTATCATTTGGCTCGACGACTATCTACTGTTGATCATCTGACAAAGGGCCGGTACGCTGTCAATGTTCTGCTTCCCTAGATACTGATTCAGTTACTGACTCTTGGCAGACTAGGCTGGAATGTAAGCAACCCCGACTCCGACCAAAGATACTCCTGCTAATTTTAATAGATTGTGACGAGCTATCTGGACTCCGCCGCGAGGAACATGGGCATGAAGGAGCAGTTGGCGGTAAGTGCTCCCGCCGATGAAAATATGTTGCTGACTTGTATAGCACGATGAGCGCTATGGCCAAGCTGAAGAGTATGTCAAGGTCATGTATAAGCTCTTGGAGTCTTCTTGGCGAGACGATGCTGTTGTTCGTGATCGAAAGAAGAACATGTTCTCTGATCCAGATCGGATCCGACAAATCAACCACAAAGGCAAGTATTTCGAGGTACCCGGTCCGCATATCTGCCAACCTAGTCCACAACGGACTCCGTTGATCCTGCAAGCGGGTGCCTCGAAAGCAGGCAAATCTTTTGCGGCGCAAAATGCAGAAGCAATATTTGTTTCTGCACACGCGCCTATCGTGTGCAAAGGTAACATTGCTGAGATCAGGGAGATTGCTTCGTCGCAGTTTGGAAGAGACGGGCGTTCCATCAAGTTTTTGGCCCTTGCGACTCCCATTATAGGCAGGACAGAAGAGGAGGCACAAGCGAAGCTTGCAGAGTACCGAAAGTACGCGTCATTGGAAGGTGCATTGGCGCTTTTCTGTGGCTGGACTGGGATCGACTTGGGAAAGTATGGTGACGAAGAGGAGTTGCGCCACGTTGATAGCAATGCGGTGCGGTCGACGGTGGAGGGTTTCGCTCGCTTCTCACCCGGCACATCCAAATGGACTAAGCACACAGTGGCAGAGCACATCAGCATTGGCGGAATCGGTCCTATTTTTGTCGGAACTCCGTCACAGATAGCAGACGGGTTCCAAACATGGGTTGACGAAGCGGATGTGGATGGATTCAATATCGTAAGCCATTATCCTTGGAAGTGCTGGTACTGAACTAACAAATGCGCAGGCATATGCGCTCTTTCCTCAATCTTTCAAAGATGTTGTAGAGTTGCTGCTTCCAGAGTTGAGAAAGCGCGGGATGTTTTGGAATGACTATGCAGTTCCTAGTGGCACGTACCGAGAGAATTTCTATGGAATCAAGGGACAGACAGGTCCTCCGGACGAGCATGTTGCGTCGACGTATCGATGGAAGGCGGGTGTCGATGCCAAAGATCATGTTATTCCAGAGTAAAACAAACAACGCTAGTCTTCACACCAAATTGCATATCGAGTCCGGATATGTGTGCATAGCAGAGATGGATTGTTTATTCGAAATCTATTCGAGAGCATGCTGGCAATATATATGCTATGTTGTGAATTGAAACAAGAGGTACACAACAAGCACTGTTTTTTTCTCCGAATATAGACTGTGATTGATCCTATAGAATATGCTTGGTTATTGCAAATAGCATCAAAATCATGTTGCCATCCTTACCTTACCACCGCTTGAGAAAATGTTGGACTTAAAATCAAAGGCATCTACGAAGTGACAATAGCCAACGTGTTCTGATATTGTTGCTTAGATATTATTGCTTAGTTCAAGAATTTACATTGTTTTGATCATGCTGTCCTGATGTCTAGTCCTTCTTTTACCAAACTCTGCCCATGTTTAAAGTCTTGTACGCATAATCATTCTGTGGCACAGCGAGTTATAAGATCTTTTCAAATTGATTGATAGCCTAGACAGTACATCCCCGCCACTCAGCAATTGAAAAAGATACAAAATAGCCAAAAATGTATGTATAAACGAATGTCCAAAAGCGCTCCCAACTTTTCCTCCACATCCTCCACTTCCCAACCCTGCTCCTTTCCTTCCCAGTTGTCGGCAACTGTATCCAACTCATGTGTAATTGCCACTAGCAACCCTGGTAGAGGATAACAGACGCAGCGCGGTTGACGTTGTTGCAAGACGTCGTCTGACTACCCTCAATACCCTGGTGATGAAGCTTAGTTCCGCGGCACCCGGACTGAGTGTAGTAATCAGCAGTAGGGTAAGGGTTCGCTGCGCGCTCCCTCCACAGCCAACCACTGTAGAAGAAGAAGTTGGTAGCACTGACGCAAACACCGCATCCAAAGCCGGAAGTGACAGCGGTTTGAGCACCAGAGCATCCACCGGAGCTGTAACCCTGCCACTCGCGGCCTCCGGCTCGAGCCTCGATCCTTGAAAGGGGTTTCGCGGGAGAGAGTTCATCAGCGTCGATGGTGCACTGTGCGAGCTTTTCCATGCCAGCCCAGCCAGTGGTGTCGTTGAGAGACTGGTATTCGGCGAATTCCTCAGGGGTCCATCCGGGACCGTCGGTGCAGGCTGCGAGGACTTGGCCGCTGGAGAGTGCGAGCACGACGGCTGCGACGCTGAGGGCTTTCTTCCAACCGGAGGCGAACATTGTGATTGGTGTTGGGGTTCTGAAGAATTTTAGTTACTTGGTCTGAGAATTGAGCTATGCAGCTCAAATGCCAGTGGAATTTTACCGGTGAACTTGATATGAATCGAAGCTGTGAGTCTTGAGGATGCTGGAATCAGATGCTGTGCGTTGTGAGGAAGAAGGAGATGATTGTGGTTGATATTTATATTGAACTGTCTGTCGGAGTTCACCTTGACACCTGATTAACGACTTCTCTTTTGATACATGCCATGGCACCACTATCTTGGCATGTGTGGTACGTAGAAGACCCTTTTGCTCCTACAGGATTCCACCATAGCTCCGTGCGATACAATTCCGAGCATCTTCATTGCCATTATGCATTGTGTAAGCCTGCACGTGAGTTTATTCAGCTGCAGCGCCAAGAAGTGTGGAAGCTAGTTCTCGGAGAGGTGTTGTTGGCGCGTTGGGACTAGAGGCAAATGGGTAGTTTATAATGTAGAACTAGGCTTACTAACGCAGATCATGGTAAGGCGCACAACACGTTACGCCGTATAACATTTGGAACACAAATGAACTTTGCGCCAGGACCCAGTTCAATCGATGGCTATGCTAACAAAAAACAAATGTACATATGCCAAGTATCCGCGGAGCAGTATAGGTTCTATCCTGCGGAGCTTAGTGTAGAATTATTTAGAATCTGCTCCATGCGACTATGAGTTGGCGATGGAGTTTTTGGACGACCTTACCAATTTCGTTTCTAAGAACACACCTTGCTCCCTATACAGTCGTCTGTAGTAGCTGAGGTCAAAGACTGGTGTCAAGAGGACCTATACGAGGCATTGCGCAGCCACTCTCAAGACATCGCTCTTGGAATGCTTCAAGAGCGGGTTGTCTTGGGTTGGGTTGGAGAAAATAGTGCATTCCATAGGTCTTGCCAAGGCACACGAGTTGTCCAGATGCTCGACCGCAAATTGGCCGTATTAACTTTTGGACCCAGTTCGTATCTGTACAATGTTAAAGTGGATGAATAAGCCCATGACCTTTTGCATTGCGGTAAATGAGAAGCTAGACTCATGAAATCTGGGCCTGGCAAGCGATGAAGTGTCAAACCTTCGAGGCCTTGCCGTTTCCCTGCCTGGTAAAGTCTGTTACTATGCGAAAATCAACGGGATAGTGTGGATACCACGTCCGGGCCGAGCAGTAGGTGACTATTGCGAATTTGGATAGATTGCGCTCCGGAAAGATCCACAATACAATCGGTTCCGAAACTTGAGCAAGGTGGCCATGCGGGTCTTACTTACTTCGTATCGGGACCACTGCGCTAAGTCGACAAAGGGCCCCTGGCAATCAGTAGCCGCAAATATTGAAAACATCCAGCCCAGGACTCTTATAACTATTAATAATATTTCACTTCCATGCCCTAGGGAAACAAAAGAGCAGTAGATTTCATGCTTGGATGGTCGAGGGAACGGGAACCACAACAAGGATACCATGGGAGGTCCTCCTAGAGCCGGCTGGGTGTTTGCTGATTTGCATCAAGGGGCCGTTCCCCAGCGTGAAAAAATTCCTAATTTTCGAACTAAATGACTTTGATTGAAGCATATAGAATCGCGCCGGCCAGAGGAACGCATCTGATCACTTTGTGGAATGTGTGTGTAGGAGGAATGGCAAGATGCAAAGATGAAAGTCAAGTGCGGTCCAGAGGGCGGAAGGACCGCCTGCTACTAGCGTCACGTCAGTGCGGTCGACGGGCAAACATTTTGTGAACATCGCGCAACACGACTCTTGCACACAATTGCAGCGGCCCAATCTCGCCTCGCCAAACCGGACAAGTGGCAACATGGCCAAAAGAAAACGCAGTGCTTTCGACGACCGGCGTCCAGTCGACGTCGGGCTGGGCGCGACTTTGGCACACATGCGCGGCGAAGATGAGCCAGACGAAGCTACCGAAGGCTGGACAGTCGTCGGCAAGAGAAGAAAGCAGCACAATTCACGTGACTCTGCATCACGCTCACCCTCTCCCACCCAAGATGCCTCGGTCGCGCACAAGGATGACGGTCTGTCCAAGGAGGAGCGCAGGAAGGAACGAAAGCTGCAGAGGAGCTACCCGGCCATTGAGCACTCACACCATGCACGCCTCAACTCGCATGTCAAGATCACAGATCTGCAGGCGTTGGTACTTTATCTGCTTGCTGACGGAACGGCGCCTCAATGGGTTTCTGTGCGAAGCCGTGCAAACATCCAGCAAGTCGTTATGCTCATGGTCCCAGGTCTGGACGTGGGCATGTTTAACGGACAGGTTGCCCTGGAAGCCGCGTCACAGCCCGCCCAAGGAGACGAGGCCACCGAGTCTCAGCCAAAGCGGCTGTCCATCTCGTCTAGCGACTTCTACCCAGCCAGTCTGAAGCCTGAACGCCTGCCTGTACCGCTGCAACCTCTATCCGATATTTTCGAGCATGTGTGGCCCATCAAAGCCATTGGAGAACACCGCAACAACCAGTACATGCGCCTCCATTCGCCCATCCATACCATGCTCACCTCGCAGATTCCAAAGACACAGGAAGAAAAGCAAATGAAGCGGACTGGCAACCACAAGGGTCCCATGCCACAGAACTCAAGCCATTGGCAGAACAGACGCACACGCATCACCGAGTATATCGCCACGCTCATGGAGCAGCAGGAGAACGAATATGTACTGCATCCAGCCATGTTCACGACGCCCGAATCCAAGGAGGCTAACCATGAGAGGAGGAAACTCGCCAAGCAGACTGCAGATGACGGCTGGGTGGATAGCCATGTGGCAGATGTGGACGAAGGACAAGTACCCGAAGAAGAGATAGAGCAAGGCAGTTTGAGTGCTGGGAGACAGATCCTCTCCATGGACTGTGAAATGTGTAAAGCTGAGAACGATGAGCTTGTGCTTACGCGCATCAGTCTAATGGATTGGGACGGCAAGGTAGTCTTGGATAAGCTTGTCAAGCCCGAGATTGGTATCAAGGACCATCTAACACAGTGGTCGGGTATCACAGCGGCCATGCTTCAGGATGTCACAACGACACTCGCCGACATACAAAAGGAGCTACTGGAGCTCATCACGCCGCGCACAATCCTTGTGGGACATTCGCTAAACTCTGATCTCAATGCACTAAAGCTGACTCATCCCTTTATCGTCGACACGGGTATTCTCTATCCACATCCGCGCGGCCCGCCGTATAAGCAGTCGCTGAAATGGCTTGCGCAAAAGTATCTCAAGCGCGAGGTGCAGAAAGGGTCACAGGGTCACGACAGTGTAGAAGACGCTCGAACATGCCTCGATCTGGTCAAGCAGAAATGTGAAAAGGGCCCGAGGTGGGGCTCGAGTGACACGAATGCCGAGTCGATTTTCAAAAGACTAGGACGGAGCATGCGACCAAAGTCAAACGAGGCCTATCGAGCGGGAGCGGTCGTCGACTGGGGTGACCCAAACAGAGGCCACGGTGGTCAAGCTAAAGTTTCGATAGGATGCAAAACGGACGATGAAGTGGTGGAAGCAATTGATCGAACCCTCAAGGGCCAAGCCGAAGGCAGAGATGGGACTGCCGACCAGATTGATTTTGTCTGGGGCCGTCTGCGGGAACTTGAGCTTGCACGAGGATGGTGGGATGATGCCAAGTCAGCAGATGTTGAGGTGATTCGAAAGACGGCGCTTGAGCGAATGGGCTTGAGTCGACAAGGCGATGATGATGTGGATGTGGAGCTACAAGGCGCTGAGCTTGGCGACGCTGTTTCGAGAACGGTTGAGCGGATCCGCCAGGTTTACCAGTCCCTGCCACGCTGCACGGCCTTTATTGTGTACAGTGGGACGGGCGATCCTCGAGACATTCGACGGCTGCAAGCCATGAACCAGCAGTACCGGCGTGAGTTTGCAACGAAGAAATGGGACAATCTCAGCGTGCAATGGACAGACACGGAGGTGCAGGCGCTGTCCAAAGCATGCCAGGATGCACGCAATGGTGTCGGGTTCATGGTGGTCAAGTAGAGTACGTACTACATAGGCTATTATTACGAGAGAGCAATGTGTGGTGCGTCTCGTTTTGTGTTTGGCCACGGGGGGTGGGAGCCAACGCTAGAGCATTTTTGTGACACGCAGAATGTCGGCGTGTTTGAGCAAACAGGCAGTTGGGTCCGACAGGTAATGACGGGTAATTGAGCAAAAAGTGTATGGAAAAGACCGGATGCCGAGGGGTACCGGAAACGTTGGTATGCATTGCGGGATGCAACGATCGGTTGAATGCAGCCGGGGATAAAATCGTCTAATTGCCGTTTCAGTGTGTCCAAGTAGATATTACTGGGCCAGTTGGCATGTCAATTGCACGGACGACAATCAAGAACCCTGCTCATATCATGTTTGGCTAAGACTATGTTAGCGCATTGCCTTAGGCCCCGTAGTGTCGGATCCAGAAAGTAAAATCAAATTTTTTGCAAAGCGGATGACTACATGAAGGGCTGGATTGGTAGTAGCCTAGCAGCCATGGGGATCTGCGAGTTGGGCACGCTAGCCAAGCTGCTATCTTGCCGCCATATAGCAGTATCATAGTGCCCAGCTCGTAACGAGCTGGCGCCAGGTCCAAAGGGCTTGCCTATTGGGGGCAAAGGTAATCTGGGCCTGCTATATCAGAGACAAAGAGGCACCAACGCTATATAATAATAGTGGTACATACGAGAAGGAAAAGACAGAGTTTATAGTTGCAATGTATATGTATATATGGGAATGAAATGTAAAATATATTCAAAAGCCTCCGTGCGCGCTGGTCTTATCAGCCCGTCTTGCCATGTGCCATGCTTATTGGGCCATGACAACCATGAAACCTTGGAGGCCTGTCCAACACTGGCCAATTGTGGCAAAAAGCGATGAATGATGATTGTCGTCACGAGCCGCTTTTGCTTACTCTCGATTGTGTGTAGTATATGTACATGCGTGCATACTTACGTATATCGAGTATTAAGTAAGTTTATTTACTGGGAATATGGATGTCTTAGGT